TACAACCAAAAAGAAAATTATAGACTTATATACTTAATGAACATATATGAAAAAATTCTCAACAAAATATTTGCAAACCGCATACAGACAGACATCAAAAATATCATGCACCATGATCATGTCAGCTTTATTCCAGACGTACAGGGTGTCATAAATCATATAAATGGACTCAAATACAAGAACCACATGATCATCTCAATAGGTGCAGAGAAGACTTTTGACAAAATTCAACATGCATTTATTTTTAGTCTTAGATGGAATTAGACTGGAGGGAACATACCTCAACATAATTAAAGCCATATGCATCAAACACACAGCCAGGATCATTCTAAGCATTTCCATTAAAGTCAGGAACTATACAAGGCTTTCCACTATCTCCCCTCCTTTGTAACATCATGCTTCAAACTCTTATAAGAAAAATAAAGCAATAAGACAGGAGAAGGAAATTAAAGGAGTAATAATCAGAAAAGAGATCAAATTATCTCTTTTTGCAGAGTACATGATATTATATTTCAGAGACACCAAAAATTCCACCAGAAAACTCAAGAGAGGTGGAAAATAGGAGAAGGATATTATTAAGGGAGAAATGGGAAAGACAGGGGGAACTTTAAATGAGGAAACCATGGTGAAATGGTTAAACAGTGAGAGAAATAAATAATGCCCAGCTAGTTTTAAAAAACCAGAGGGAACCATATTAGTCCAACAACCTACTGACAAATTATACATACAACTAGTTCAAGGAACAAAATATGTGTCTAGTCAAGGTTTATCTGAAAACGTTTAGTTTTTGGACATGCTTTATCTACATAATGCATGGTTGTCCTGACCCACGGGACTTTCAACAGGGTACCTGGAGTGAGGAGTGGGGATTGAATGGCGCAAGAGACACAGAGAATGGAGACAAGACAGTGCTCTGATCAAGTCTCATTTACTGAACTCTGCACAAAGCATTTATAGGGAAGGAGAGGGTGGAAGAAGCTGGGCAGGTAAGTTCCGCTGTTTACCGCACATTCCACAGCCAGACCACGAGGCAGGATGTTTTTACAGGATGAGGAAATTTACAAGCTTGAGGCAGAAAAACATGTTTTTCACGAAGTCATCTGCTACTCTTAAAAGGAAGTCAGAGGCTGAAGCTGTAAACAGCTTGCTTTACAGATAATAGTTACTATTTCTGGGTAGGGGGTCCACGGCTCCCTACAGGTCTCCCTTTTTTATTATAAACAAGAGCATGGGGCCAAGGCCGAATGATCCCTTAGGGAACCATGCCCGTCT